TGTAACTCACTGCAGGGGTTCAAGGTAAGCAGAAGGCTGAGTGAAGGAGAAGTTACGCTCTACTTGGGGACTTCTGCAAGTGTTGCAGCCGCGGCCATAGGAACCGTGGAGTTAAATTTTAGAGAATGAACAATTGTATTGAAAGATTGCCTTTATGTACAAAATTTAAGAAGAAATTTGATTTATGTCTCAAAACTGTGTGCGGATGGTTATTCTGTTTTCTTTAGTAATACGATTACTATTAAAAGAAACAACAGATTCATCGCATACGGGGAACTAGAGAACGGTCTTTATGTTCTACATCATTCTCTAGAAACTAACATAACCGAAACTACATTGGCTGAAATCCCCAAGAAAAAGAGTCCGTGATACAGTTAATCCCACGTGCCTGTGGCATTACCGACTTGGTCATATCGGTGTTGACCGAATCACAAGATTGGTAAAGGATGATCCTTTGGATTTTCTAATTGTAGAAGATCTTCCCACTTGTGAGCCTTGCCTACAAGGTAAGATGACAAAACGGCCATTTAACGGTAWGMCTGAAAGATGTACAGGCACACTTGACCTTATACATAGTGATGTATGTGGTCCCCTGAGTGTTAGGATACGCAATCAACACGTGTATTTCATCACTTTTACCGATGATTTCTCACGATATGGTTACGTGTACCTAATGAGACATAAGTCTGAATCCTTTGAAAAGTTCAAAGAGTACAGACAAGAGGTTGAGAAACAGTCAGAGAGAGAAATTAAAGCCCTTCGATCAGACCTTATACATAGTGACGTATTGTGCTTCTCTATTTCCAACTTTCTAATAGATAGCTGGTGGTGTAATCCTCCAATACAAATTGGAATATCTTCATTACATCTCTTAACTTTTAAAATACATTTCTTGATCTTCAAATAATTTAGTTCTCCCTTTACTAACTATTCTAAATTTCATAAAAATGCTTGACAATATGGATCCTTGTAGACTTATATAAAGACAATGCTATTAAAGCTTCTAGTATGATAAATAGTGCTTCCATCCTCTTGAAAATCATAATGAAGGATAGCATATTCTTCTTGAGCAAAGGTTCTTCATCATAGATTAGATGTTTGTTGAGGAGAATGGTCACACAAGATTTTTGTCACAATCCTGATTAATAATATTAAAACAATCAAAAAAAGTCATAAGATTTGATTTTATCTTTAGACTCGAAAATTACTAACTCCTTCATAGAACTCTAGTCTATGAATTCATTTGAGGCTATACATCCATTAAACTCCAAGAACTCAAACTTGAGATCTATTTCCTATCACTTCTGTTCACCACCCGCAATTACAACCAATTTGGTTGCATGTCGAGTAGAGAAACCTTTATGAAATTTTAGAATCTCAATATTGAAACTCGTTTCCAACTGTTTCTTGCTATCATCCACAACTACAGCCGACTTGAATTCTTGCCTTAATGATGAAAAGAAACAACTAGAGGCACTTGGCATTGGAATTGCTATTCCCTATTTTGGAACGAGAACGTAGGGATCTCAACTCTTAAGCAAGTGCATCGACTTGTTTTCTCAACTCTACCACATCTTTTTGTGTTTTGTTATTGAGTTTCTCTATTCCATGATGTGAGCCACTTGTTTCTTTTTAAGAGTCATAATCCAAAGAAAGATCAAACATGAGCTTTGATACCAATTGGCGTAGTATAGAAATAAACAATGTTTAGAGAAGCTTCAAAGAAAAGAGCAAAAGCCGAAATAAATAGGAAGAACAACTCTTTACTGAATACTTTAGAGAAAATCAACATAAACTCACCTAGCTTTTCCTTATCTACTCTTTGATACCAATAAGGAAGTTTCCTTATTTAATAAAATACTTCTTATTATAATCATACTAAATCTCTTCAATAAAAGAAAGTCCTAATTGAATACAAATTTGAAATCCTACTATAATGCAAAATTGGTAATTACGAATTAAGATAAAAATTGACACTAAATTAGGTCGGTGACATCACCTCTACTTCTTACATATCTTATAGTGGACCCAACTTACATATAACTTATTAACTTCATTCTATATTATATCATCCTCCCCCAATATGTACTAAAACGGGTTTTCGTAAGCCAATATTATATATATTTACTTAATTAGTCCGAATCCCATACTGTATCAAATCTCCCCTTAACATTGAACAAGTCGTCATTCCTAGTACATTAATAGTCCATGCTTTGGGTGATGAGATACAAAGAATTAACAATTGTTCAACACAAAGTCCGATTTCCTGCACATGTATTCTGTGGTACACTTCCATTCAAATGTTAACACATCAGCAAAGTACGGAAATTTGGATTCACTTGTATGAATTCATTAAAACACGGTCTTGTTTTTCATTTTTTTTTTAATTGAAAAGTCAAAGTAAAATGAAAAAACAATGTTTCCCGCACAAGGGAAAAGGGGAAAAATGTCCAAGCATTTGCAATATTCATGACTCCTTGATTTTATTTTCTACACGGGAAAATTCATGATACTGGAAAGATATGGTACTGACTAGTTACCATGTTTTTGATATCATTGGATCCGTCACAAATTTTTCGGATATTATTTTTATTTTGTTTTTAGACTTCAAATATTAGGAAATGAGTATATAGTAGAGGGTCAAATGCACCATCTACCAAATTCTTGTATATGCATGGCTGACGATTAGTTCAGTATAATTTAAAAAAACCAAAAATATTAGTTCGGTTTCGGTTAATCAATATAGAAAACTGATGATTAACCGAATTGATCGGTATACATATATTTTAAATATATTTATGTATATTATATATATTTTTATATTTTTTATATATTATAAATTAATAAATATACATTATATATAAATACATATTTATAATATATAATATATTATTTATTATTGAAAATATAATATTTTATATATAATTTTAAATTTTCATTATATGTTTATATATTTTTTATAATATATATTATAAAAAAAAAAACCAACGAACCGAATCAATCGATTAGTTACCAATCGGCTTCGGTTACCGATTTTTCATAAACCGAATAATAGGGGTTCGGTCTCAAAAATAGGCGCAATCGTACCGTGATATGATCATAGGAGTGGGAGTGCAGTGTTTGGAATGACGCTTATATCCTTAATCCCCACGTTCACGCATTGGGCTTGAAGTGTGGGACAAGCAAAGGTCAAACTGATAACATTTTCAAAGAAGTATTCAGCATTAAAGTAGGTCATACTGATACCATTTTCAGCATAAAACTTTTAAGTTGGTAGTTGAGGTCTTTGATTAATAGCTTATTATTCTCTAGCACCGATAATTGCATTTAAACCTTTTCATTGTGTTTTGTTCTCAAAGATTTGTGATTATTTTTGTGTATTTTTTTGTATCTACTTAGGTTATGTTTGGTTTGAAGGAAAAGGTATGGAAAGAAGGGAAAGATAGGGAAATTAATACAAGATTTGTAAAGGTCTTCCTACCTTTCCTTTTCTTTCCCTACATTTTCCTTCAAACCAAATATAGCCTTAAGGATTACACAACGGGGGTAACCCATTCCTTAACCCAGGTGTAGATGGGATTCGATCCCAAATTTTCTCACGATCAGCAGGAAACCTTACCAATCAGTTAATTGGCACCTTACTGATCATTTTTGTGTTTGGATCATATACGTCTACATCAATTTTTTCTCTAGGTGTTCCAACAAGGATTACAAGGTTTAAACACTCATCCCTTGGGTTGCATTTGGGAACAGTGTAAATGTCGGTACATTGCATTATTAAGGGTTGCATTTTCGGAACAGTGTAAATGCTGGTTCAATGCATTATTATACCCTGATCCTAATCTGCATGCCTTACGCTGTGTTTGGTTTGAAGGAAAAGGTAGGGAAAAGAAGGGAAATGTAAGAAATGCTACATAAGGTTTGTAAATGTTTTCCCACTTTTTCCTTATTTTCCCTATCTTTTCTTTCAAACCAAACACAATCTTAGGAAAACATTGTAAAAATACCTAAGGTCAAAGTAAATTTGCAAACTTATCAGAGTTTGCTTGGATCTTAGGGTGAAAACTACTTTGATTTCCAAGTAAATTTACTCCTCCCATGGGAAAACAACCATGTTTTGCATTGTTATTTGTCAAACGAGAAGAATGTAAAATAAGGTTGTGTTTGGAAACAATGCAAATGGTGTGTAAAACCTGATCCCAGCTTGCAAGCGAGGTGGTCATGATTTGTAGCGCGTGTGTTTTAGCATTTACACCACCTACCCCAAAGGCAGCCTTGGTCTTCCATTTTGGGTATGGAACAATCATATATACCGAAGGCTTCTACTGCCCTTATATAGTCCGGTTTAATTGATACAAAGATTTGTTGAGTCCATCCTTAAGCTGGGATTTGTTTCCCTGTCCATTAATGATCTCTATAGTTGCTCCGACAACCTTGGACATGGCTCCTTTTCCCCTCATCGTTAAAAACCGTCCTTCCCACAGAATTTCCGCCCAAAACCAAGACTGAGAGAACCTTCTTCTTTTTCTTGCTACGTACGTCTGCTTCGAACTCCCCATTCTTGACAAGATTTTTCGTCGGCGGCACCGCCGTCGTCACCGTCGCCACTGTGTTATTTTATAGATTAGTATAACATGCATCGGCGATCGATCGTCTACTTTAAATTTACATATAAAACCCTTAGACTCAATTCGCTCAACATCCCCATCTCGAAAATACTGCAAATCATTCACCCAACGTCTATGAGAAATATGTTAGTACATTAGCCGTGTCAAATCAGAAGAGATCATTGGCAGGAATTAAATATACAGCTACAAAGCTTAATGTTCTTGATTAGTTTTTATCTGGTTGTCTTGTCTGTAAGTCTATCGGTGAGGTGCTCATCCGAAACACGGGATCGTGGTAATGCAAGAGTGTACTAGTATTCAGCGCGGTGAACACCATGAGAGATAGTAAAACCAGGACGGAGAGAATCAGTAGTACCATCATTAGCCCGTGTGCGACCACTCCCTTCACCCCTTGTGCATATTCCGACGAAGCCAATGCCAGCGATGTCAACGGGAAAGAATAAGCCCACCATGCGACGTTGAACCTCTTCATCGATTTCTTGAATAAGGTTGGCCTGAAAACCTGCATGTTTTCCCATTAAAAGAGAAAGAACGTTTAGAAGATGATAAAATCCACTATTAATATTGTTAATTTGAAATCATATATGTTGGAATCGTCTGCGCTTTTTTTTTTTCTTTTCTTTTATTATCTTTGCTGGAGAGGTAATATCTACGCTAAAATCGGTCACCATATACAATATTGGAAGAATGTTCTTGTTAATTTGAATGGGTTCGTTTGCTATAAGTGAGACGAAGCAAGAAAGGAAAGAAGGAGAATCTCTCAGATCAGAATTAAACTTCTCTTCATTGGAACGAACTCTATTAATTCAGAGAGTCCTGACATTTTCTTGGGTCTTTCAGTCCCACCACCACGAGTTTGACTTTCGCTCCCATAATGCTAATAATAAATTAAAGAGGAATTTGTCTTATTGTCCTAATAACGGTGAATGTTAATTGTTAAAACTTAGGGTAAATTGCTGAAACTTTCCCCATGCTTTTGAAACAGCTATTAAAGTTTGGTAAAAATTACTGCCGATACCCTTTTAATATATTTTCTTAAATTGATTTATTTTTCAAATTTGCCCTGTATATCAATCTCTCAAAGGTAAATCTATAATTTTAATTTTTTTTTTGTTTTAGTTCTTCATAAAGTTTGCATTGTTTTTTTTTCTTTTTTTCTAGAGGCCAGCCTCAATAATAATTATATGGGTATTTTAGACATTTTATGCCTTTTTTTAGAAGATTCTATGAGAAAGGGTATATAGGTAGGGGTGGATTCGAGTCGAACCAATCCGAATATCTAGCTATTATATATTGGGCTCGAGCTGTGAGCCAAATGTTTTATAAAAGTAAAAAAAAAATAAGAATTATAAAAACTAGTTATTATTATTATATATGAAAAATAAAATATTATATATAATATTTGTTATTTTTTATTTATATATATTATTCTTAAGAGCCTTACAAATCAAGTTTTATTAGGCTTGAACTCAACTCGATTAACATACGCTCTTATATATTGGGCTCGAGCTGTGAGCCAAATGTTTTATAAAAGTAAAAAAAAAATTAAGAATTACAAAAACTAGTTATTATTATTATTATTATTATATATGAAAAATATAATATTATATATAACATTTTTATTTTTTATTTATATATAAATTATTCTTACAAGCCTCATGAATCGAGTTTTATTAGGCTCAAAATCAACTCGATTAGCAAACGCTCTTATATATTGGGCTCGAGCTGTGAGCCAAATGTTTTATAAAAGTAAAAAAAAAATAAGAATTACAAAAACTAGTTGTTATTATTATTATATATGAAAAATAAAATATTATAACATTTTCTATTTTTTATTTATTTATATTATATGTACGAGCCTCGGAATCGAGTTTTATTAGGCTCAAATTTGATTCGATTAGCAAACACTCTTATATATTGGGCTCAAGTAGGGGTGAGCAAAAAAAAAAAAAAAAATCGACCGAAACCAAACCAAAAAATCAATTAACGAAACCGGTCGGTTTGGTTTTGGTTCGATGTTTTTGAAAAACCAATAGTTTCGGTTCAGTTTTGGTTAACCATTTAAAAAACTAGTGGTTAACTAATGGATCGATATGTATATATATATATATATATATATATATATATATATATATTATCCTTTTATTTTTTTTGAAAATCTAATTGCAAAAGTTCGACAATCTGAGAGTGTCAAACTACCGAATTAAGACTTTCAGGTTTTAGGCTTTCAGTCTTTCTCTTCAAAAGGTTTGCAGACCGGCAACCAAACTGGCGACTGGCAAACAGGCAAACACTGCTAGACTGGCAATCTCTTTCTTCGTCCCTAGTAAGCCTCCTACCTCCGCCGTGCCTTTCCGGTTTCTAGTTTCCCCTTTTTTTCCTCTCTGAGATTCTAAGCTTTCTTTGTCACTCTCACTCTCAGTTCTCTTCTTCCCCAATGGACCATTGGCCTCTAGCACTTCACCCTCCGATCGAATCACCAACGTTTGACCAGGCGACCAACTGTCTCACTCTCTATTCTCTCTCAGACTTCTTTTTCTTCCCCAACGTCCTCCTCTTCTCTCTGAGTCTTAATCACTCATCTCTCTCAATCTCTCGTCTCATCTCAGTCTTAGTTTTATTCTCTCAATCGCAAGAGAAAAGGTCTTTTTCCCTTTTTTTAATTTTCAATACATAAAAAAAATCGAAAAATCGAACCGTACACTAGTTAACCGGTTGCATCGGTTCGATTTCAATTCGATTAAATTTAAAAATCGAATATGTCGGTTCCGTCTAGAAAATCACCCCACGGTTCGCTTACCGCGCTTGCCGTAAACACCCCACCCCTAGGCTCAAGTTTTTCTCTAAATTTAGTTTAGTTTAGACCAAACCGAGTCAGAGGAGCTCGTGAACCTCGGGAACCGCGGCGTTGTCGTGCATATCCACTCGTCAATGGGATCTTTCCCTTTTTGAGCATGACAGTAATTTCCATCGCGTACACTGTCGCTTTCAATCTTAATCGCTTCTTTTAAACCTAATTTTAGAATGGTCAGTTACCACTTACGAGAGACATGGCGTCAAAAAAAAAAAAAAATTACCAGAGACATGAACATGAAGAGGGAGAGGAAGAAGAACATCTTTGACGGGGTGTCGAAGTTTCCAGAGATGGACTCCCAGGCCAAGCTCGCCATGCTGGGTGTCGCGAAGAACAAGAAGAAGACGGGACGTAGCGTCGCCGGGATTCTTTCTCTCCCTGAAAACCTTTGATAGAGTGTGACGAAGAGCACCAGATAGTGTGCCATTCCTATCGAGAACATACACAACGCGCTCTCCTTCCACCCCATCTCAGCTGCGGCTTTGGCACCCACCAAGTTCCCGATCACCGATAACTGACTCGTGGGGTTGGCTACCATCGACAAGAATCGCTTCCCTTTAATAAACCATTGGCCGTAAATTTTTACGTCGAGAGCCACCACCGGGATCACAATCGCCCACCAGAGCACTAGATAAGGAACGGATTTGGGAGAGACGAAGGGTGCAGATTCCAGCAAGAGGAGCCACGAGATCCACGGGGCGAAGAGGTAGTTGACGCCTACATGGTGCAGGAACTCACCCTTCACCATACGAAAGTGAAAGAAGCATCTGAGTAGGTAGAGAAGGGATAGTGTCATGAGTATGAAAAGTGCGATAGACCAGAGAAGAAGGAAGGCCGTAGAGGGGAGCAAGCGAAGCAGTCTCCGAATGACGAAGGAATCGTTAGCGGGCTTGCCTAGCGTCTTCCATAGAAAGGCTTGGCCACAGAGAGAGAGGCTAATCCTGAAGTAACCAGCATGAAATCTAGCTAGGATGGGCGGTGGTGAACGCTGCTTGACAGGACCCCGATGTGTTAGTGTTGGGATGTCGATGACAGGTTCAGCGACCACTAGGTTGATCTGGGTTTGGGTTTGGGAGTTCTTGTCATCCATCGGTGACTGGAGTTAACAGTGGTGACAGAGAGAATGGCCTTTGTTTCTGGTTCTGGTTGGTGAAACCTATGCAGAGAAATTACCCGTTTATACAGAGAAAGGAGTAAGCAGGGGGAGAGGAGTCTGAATTGTGCCCTTATAATTTAGAGAAGCGTGGAGAGAAAGAGAGAGAAGTCGCGCACTTATATTTGACTTTGTTGATTGTATGGTGGGACCATCGGCGTGGGATATGTATCCCAAGCCGACCACACATTTTCAATGTGAATTTTAGAATTTAGAGCTAAAGAGAGAGCGATTTATTAGGGTTTAAAATGGAAGGTTTAGATGTGATGGTAGGATTTAAAATGTTGGTCATGGAATGGAAGAAATCGATTATATTTTAAAAAATTTTACTATTGTTAAACAAATCTGGAATATCTTAAACCCAAATATTAAAGGGTCTAGTGAAAATAATTCCTCACTTTGGGAGTGGTGGGATGGCTTATTTTCCGATCCTGTAAAATCCTGCATTATCTTGTGGTAGATTTGGAAGAATAGAAACGAAAATACCTTCCAAAACCATTGTAACCACCCTTCGGTCATCATTGATAGAATTTTGTCTCTATATTTTAATCATAATGTTAGAAATTGTTCTAAATCTAGTACTATACAGAATAAAGATTGGAAGCCAATCAAATGGAAAACTCCAAAAGGGAGTTCTATCAAAATTAATTTTGACAAATCCAAAAATGATAAAGGTGATTGAGCAATTGGTTGCGTCGCAAGAAATCAATGGGGGATTGTTCTTGAGACCAAAGCTTATTTTATCGAGAATTCCTCAATTAATGTAGCGAAGGCTTGAGCTGCGTGGGAGACCCACAATATTGCTTTTAACTATAGGGGTCCCCCCATCTTCATTGAGGGAGACTCTCTTCTTGTGATTTCGTGTTTAAAGAACAAAATGGACTTCCCGTGGAGATTAAAGACCATCATCGAGGAGTGTTTGAAGCTGGCTGGAGATTTGGAACGTGGTGTCACTTACAACCATGTCTATAGAGAGGCCAATCAAATTGCGGACTGGATGGCAAACTAAGCTCTTTCTTTCCTCTCAGCACTCTCAGTTTTTGCCCTCTCTCTATCCCTAGAGACTTAAGTTCTATTTGTTTTTGTGATGCTAGGGGCCAAGCTGCCCCCATCTTGTGTAGTTCCTCCTATTTCTACCAAAAAAAAAAAAATTAAAGCCCTAGCATGGTTGAGCATCCATAGGGCAATGATCAAGAATTTTCCCTATAAAAATATATAAATATATAATAAAAAATTATAAATATATAAAACATTATATTTTAAATAATAAATAATAAATAGTATATTATATATAATATACATAAATATATATAAAATATATGTATACTAGTCGGTTCGGTTAACCGCCGATTTTCTATATTGGTTAACTGAAACCGGATAGGTACCTTCAGTTTTTTAAAAACACCGAACCAAAACCGAACTGACCAATTCAGTTAACCGATTTTTTAGTTCAGTTTCGGTCGATTCAGTTTTACTGTTTTTTTCTCACCCCTAGAGTAGGTAATGCTCCTTGTCACGGTTGATTTGATACTAAACCTATAATTTTTTTTTCATAAATAATATTTAAAACCTCAGGAAAATCTATGATGTGAAAAAGATATGATATAGAAAGAGTTTTGACCAATCAAAACCCACCCATGAATTTTGATAAATAACACCTGATTGGCTACTACGTTTAGGATTTCAATTGACTTGTCATAAGTTTTTCAGATATCATATCTTTACCTCGCCTATCAAAGTTCTAACTTCTAATGCGCGGAATTATTCAAAAGTCTCTCTGTTGTCTTTTAATACTAAAAAATTCTTCAGATTTTGAAAAATTAAGAATCTCTCTTGTCAAAAACCTACCAGGCATTTGTCTGATTGTTCCCTGTAATTAAATTATGAATAGCTTTAAATACTCTCAACACACAATTTATATTGCTGGGAAATCAAAGTCAAAAATGAAGAAAGAGACTAACGTCTCCTTTTATAATTATCTGTAAATGAAACTCCCAAATCTAGGATTATACACGCGCCTTTTCAGTTTGGTTGCACAAAAGTTTTTCAAGTGATGAAACTTATCGACTAGGCAGGAAAACCAACATTAAACATGAAGAGTCGACTTGGTCTGATTCTCGGTGATCAATTATATTGAGAACAAATAACATACCAAACCAAAAGTTGTCAAAAGAGAGAAAAAAACATTTAAAAGTTATGAAAAGGAGAAAAGGAAACATTTAATGCATTTAATTTTGTTGGAACTATGAAGTAAAGAATAAAAGAAAATTCATAAAATGCGGACATGATACAGAGAATTTCAAAAATGGGACATTAGAGATGGAGAGAATTCCACTTTTGAATTATAATATAACTAGGACAAGGTTTAGATACTATTCATCATCATCATCAAAGATGACTCTTCATGCCCAACCTGTTTATAACTATAAGTAACCTATTCTGGTCTCCCATAGGATTAGGGCCGAATCTGGATTTGCCTATCCTCACACCAAAATCGCAGCACTTGAGTCGCACTTTGGGAACATTCATGGGAGTTATTCCTCATGCACGACTGTTACTTGTTATTCTATTATAAATCAAACAGCGTGGATAGGAAAACTTGGGACTCAAAAAGATTTGACAAGACAACCCTCTTTCTATTGACATGCGTGTTACTGTATGATTCAGGTTCCACTGATCTGAGCTGCCATAAAATTAAACGCTGAGGTGAATCGTAGACAAAGGGAGTGTTTTATAGTGTGGATGAGAAATTGGTGAGTGTGGATTAGTCCATATCACACCATGTGACAAGGACCACCACATCATATCACAATCCACAGCTATTTTGAATTATGTATAAATTGTGTGGACCGGATTAGTCCACACCACACTTTTTTATTCCATGTATCTAATATACATTTCATGGGAGATCTACACAATTGGTCATAAATGTTTAATTTTTGTATTTTATATGGTAAATAAATTGAAAAAAAGGCTTCAATATGTAGACACCAATTGCATTTTTTAAAAAAATGAATATTTTAAATATTAATTATTAATAAAAATATTAAAAATTTAATATTTAAATAATGATAAAAAGAGTTGAGAATGAGAATGTTAGATTTGTGCTAGAATTAACATTAAAAACTATTATTTTATTAATAAAATATTTAAAATTTATTAAAAAATTAAATAAAACGAGAGTAATTTGATCAATGTAAACGTTACACTGAAGTTTTCCCACAAACTGTCCACACTATAGTGTGGAATAAAACGAGAGTAATTGGATCAATGTAAACGTTACACTGAAGTTTTCCCACAAACTGTCCACACTATAGTGTGGACCATCTACAAAAAAATACTGTGGATGATAAATTGGGGTGTGGCCCGTCCCTGTCCATGCTATTTCGTGGACGGTTCCCGTCCACACATAGCAAAACACCATATCTTACTATGTATATGATCAAAATGGTTCCGTCCACGATATTTACACACTACCGAACGCCACCAAAATTGTATAAACAGGGCTGGGCTATCTATCCTAAGTAAACACGCCAATGTTCACTTTGCGCCCCATGTGAATTAAATATTGGCGTAGTCACTGATGATAGGTAGCCCAGCACAATGCATGATGTTGTCTTCGGCTAATCTAGTCTCTCCATGCCCTAGAGAAATTACAGTATTGACATGCTAGTATAAACCCCCACCCAAAAATAAAAAATAAAACAGAAAAATACGAACAAGCTCAATGCAGATTTCTGATTTCTACTGCAGAGTTATAAATATTCAAAATGTCAAAAAACCCCTACTTTATACACCAATGTCCACCCGAGAATTTATATCAATTCCGAGAACTGGCACCTACCCCAAGTGTACCTTGGGCCTAAAAATTCTGACCCTAGGCTGAACCGTCTTTCTCAAGAAAAAACAAATAGTAAAAGTTAGGTCTATATCCATATTTCAATGCTAAAATACCCCCCCATTCACGGAGGATCAGCGCTAGGTGATGGGTTCAGCGCCTACCTCACGTGAATAGCTGAGGCTGTCCTTTCAAAGATCTAAGCCGCAGCTCACGTTTACAAAAGCCTTTCAATTATTTTCTCTCAATTCATAGTTATGAAGATATATTTTGTTTTTTAATGTAAAAACAAAATTCATAAAGCAAGCAAGCAAGCAAAGAATTATACAACAATAAGTCGAAAAAAAGACATTGTTTTAGAAGCTACAGTATGCGCTATCAAGTTCAATGATCTATAAACCAGTGTAGTATTTTCTCCCAATTCATAGAATATACGTCCCGCAGGTGATAGAGATTCAAAACCTCATCTCAAGCAGGGGGATTTCAGGCAGTTTTGGCCACTTTATTCTATCCACCTAGGGCAGGCATACTCCACTGCAACTCTTGTTGATCATAATGGGTTCAGAAACAACTGAAGAAGGCACGATTCTCAGTCTGTTATATGGGTTATCAAGGATTGTCATGTCCTAATAAACAATGGGTATGATATGAAAGAGGTCAATCAATATTACTGTTGATCTTAATATTTCACTTTGAAGATTAACCAAGTTGGTCATTTCTTGAGGTGAAGGAAATTAAAAAAGCAAGGAGGAAGATAGAAATTGATATTACAAGATTGTCGCTTCTAGCTACTTGCTTTGTACAGGGGGGGGGTTGGTCGAGATACAACGGGGACTGGGCTCGATCTGGCCCAGTTAAGCCCATGCAGGGATGAAATATGATGTGTTTGAAGCCTTTTCAATTTTTTTTGTAATTCAGTTTATTATTTTCAATTCAAGGTAATGATGATGCAATTTTATTTTTGAAAGAGATGATGCAAAATTAATATATACGACTTTGACCCGTTTGAATAATTTGTTTAATAAGTAGAATTTTGGCCTTGTTCATTTTTTGATACCTGAGAGAATAAAGTTGCCCAAATAACTTTGACATGTCAGTG